ACATCGCGTGCACCCTAGCATTAGCTTTAGGATTAATGATGATTGCTTTAACGTCATCAAAAAGGTTAATGTTCGAAAGATATTTTATACGATAATGATGCAACATTTTATTCTATGTTAGAAAAGGTAAATGTTCGAAAGATATTTTATACGATAATGATGCAACATTTTATTCTATGTTAGAACACATTGCGTGACTCTGCAAATCGTTTTTGTAGAATCATTCGTTTTGCCTTCCATCATTAATAAACGGAATGACAGTACATTCCAATGTTTCTTCTACTATACGATAAACAAAGATGAATCAAAATACGTTAATCCTGATTCCTAAGTACCTTATCCAAAAAGGCCAAAGGTGCGCTCATCACAGGTGTTTCAGATCTTAGGATAAATTATTTTGACTGAAGAAAATGATGCTAAAAGAGCAGTCCTGAAACACGTTTATCTTTTGAAATATAGCATGTACTTTGCAAAGAACTACGCATTTCGGACTCGACTAGATTTGTTATCAATTTATTGTTATGTTAATCTAAACGTCGAATTGAACCGAATGTACGGTTAAATCAGTCATTCAAAAGCTATGGAAACGGACTGGAAAATATTTATTGTCGAACACTTTTAACGAAAGAAAATTACAATAAGCGAAAATATTTTAAAAGTAAGATGTAATAACCTTCAATAATATGTACTTGAAAATGATATTTGAAAAATCACATCGTCCATAAATCCAGAAAATAGAAATTCAATATGTCTTTACTAGGGTTACCTTTTTAAACACCGGAATTAGATTTCTTTCTATCTAATTGTGCTTGTTAAACGTCTCTAAGATACTTTAACTTTTATTGCGGGATTGATTCTCATTCCGACCCATTAAAATATAATGATTAAGATTAAGACTGAAATGATCACAATATTAGGATCAGATTTGTTATAACACCTTATTTAATCTTGGTCCGCAAGATGAATTACCTTAATCTTGAACAAAATATATGGTACTTTTAGCTTAGTGAACAAGGGGCCAGACGTGATATAGTATGGAAAGGTTTATAGGAATTCCTTTGATAAAAAATTTCAAAGTTGTTTTGTTTAAAACGAATCCGACCCATGTGCGTATAATATAACCTATAAATACATGTAATAAATTATCATGTAGGCTCTTCACTACCCCTCGGAGCGTGCTCCTGGCTGAGAAGGCACAGGGCATTGGCAAAAGATTTGAAGACTTGGGACGGCGCGAAAAATCGGAACTTGTACTGCGGACAAGCTGCCGATGTCCTGATAAATGCCGAGGGGAATGGTCCTACAAAGAAGGCTTTGACGAGAATGGTGTGCTGGAGTGCGTAAGCCCCTAGCACATTAAGACGGCTTGAACAGCTGGCCCTTTGCTGGCACCAACATCCATTAGCAGATAATATTTTACAACAGAAGAGTTATTTAAAAAATACAAACGGATATGTAATGTATTTGTTGATTGCTCTTTATGTTGACTATTTTTTTCTGTCCATGGACGCGATTTTTATCAATTAATCCCTTCGATTTACAGCTAATAATAAATTCGGATGCAAGAATTTCTTCCGATTTCTGTTATGATAAGTCATTTATTGGTTTCCCATTCGGTGACTCGCAGTATATCATATTAATGGATGAGAACGGGAACAAATTTCATATATATATAAGCAGAATAAAAGACAAAATAAAAAATAAAACCTTTTGGTAAATTTTATCTTACATTTGTATCTTATGCAGGAAAAATAACTAATTATTTGTAGTACACAGTGAGTTATGTATGCATTTATTGTTGTACATGAATTCGAAAGCTATAAATAGATATGACCTTCACATTGTGAATGTCCGAAAATCTATTTAAGGCCATTTGTTTCGAGCAATGGTAATGAATAACGAACTGAAGAGTTTTGCAGGAAATGAAATGCAAACACATTCAACCATAAATTGCACTCTTCATTAAATTTTAGGCCATTTTTACTGTTGTTATGTCATAGTATTATCATTTTGAAATTGTCTTTTCCATAGTTTTTTTTGGTAAATTAATAAGCTCCTTTCTTTTTTACGACCTTGATTGCACTTCTGACATTGTTTTACCATCGACCCTGATTTCCCGAATTTTTGCTGTAAGAAGTTGATTCTATTTTGTTTGAAGGCAATCGGGTATATGGTGGTTTGAGTCACAGTGGAATGTTGATTTGCCGAATGCTGGGATATTTTAACAACATTAACTTTCGTCTGCATCTTTAACATGAGGTGTTAAAACTGGACGAGGATTTTTAAGCAATTTTACAAAATAGTAGATTGATCTCCCAATAAACCAATTAACAATAGCTCTTTAGTTCCAAGAAAGATGATTTCGTATTGTGCACAATGTCCCCACAATGAAAAGTGTTAAACGCTTTAAATTCAAACCAGGCTAAGAATCTCACGTGCATTTTGGTACCAAATAGATCAATGTAAGAATAAATTGGTTTTAGCCTTTGGACCACAATTTAGCTTCTTTGTCTGGTAAACATAGAACTATGATTTTTTAAGATAATTGTAAACGCTAGTAAGGTGTAGCTACACCGTCTTTCTTGTCTGTCAAATTCTATTATATTTATCATTTAACCTTTTATATTTGGAAATTGTCACATGTAATTGCTCTTATATGTCAGGTGTTTAATACTAGTTGATATAATTGATATGGTAATCATATACAGTAAGACTCTTGTTTAGAGATTCAATCGTTTGTAATAATGTGTTCATAGTTTATGATACATAAAATGTTTAAAAAGTGTAAGCTTACAATATAAGTAATACTTATCGTGACATAAAGAAAATGTTCTATGCTTTCTCATGAGTGTCAGCTAAGTCATCTTCTACAGAAGAATTAAATGCTTCTTCTGAAAATGTCATAATTTATGCCTAACATATTCCCTAAAAGTGCAAGTGATATAATCTATTCCTGAACGTGCAAGTGATTTACTAACTGTAAATGTTTTGATAATTATCCGTTAAGTAAACAATCCTAGTGTAATTGCCAGTTCATATGTTAATAATATTGATTTAGAACATAATCAAGGAGAGATGTACTTATATATTATAATGTATTGCTTTAAGGAATGATTGGTGTTTATAGTAATTGGAATAGTATTGCTTAAACATTTTTCTAAAATCCTTTTTTCCTTTATTAATCCTTTTTTGTTATCTAAATAGCTAAATTGTGTGCAAAACTGAAAACATCGAAATTCGAGTCCGAATGTGTTTGAAAATAAAATTATATCTTACTTTCTGAAGCATTTGTGATAACAACTAATTATAATTATGAATGCATGCTTCTTTTCCTTCTTTTTTGCATGATAAAAATTGAAAGAATATATCTATTACTTGATGATGACTTAAGCCCCAGTCACATTAGAGCTTACGACCAGTGAAGACCAGTTCACGATCACCAGTGACCTCTGGTCGCGGACAATCTTTAAAACGTCTTACGACGGTCATCGGTGATCTTTGAGAGTCGCAGGTTATCTAATTTAGGTCCCACGACCAATTTCAGTCGTAGAGAGGTTTTTGAGCTTGCACAAAAACCTCCTTGCGATCAAACAGGTCGCTAGTGATCTTATAAGGTCTTAAGGCTGTCGCACGATGGTCGTTCGGAAGTGCGACAATCTTACGACAGTCTTTACAAATTGCCACTAGTCACTGATAATCTTAAGTAGTCTTTAGTTATCGTGTGATGGTCGTACGACAAGTTGTAGGTGATCGCATGTTATGTCACGGGTAGTCGTAAGTAATCCCAGGCAATCTTGAGACCATCGTACGTTTACTTCTGACCTGTCGTGCGAATGTCAATGATGACTTGTCTTACGATACTAGCAAAAGTAAATTTATCTGTGCAAAAATGGTTTTGGTCGCAGACAATCGCTGATGATCGTCAGTTTTACAAGTCGCCGGTGGTCGCAAGTAATCGTAAGCTCTAGTGTGACTGGGGTTTTACTTGGCCGGAGGCCAACTGATTCAGTTTGAATTCTAAAAAACTGTATAAAAGAAGAATTTTCATTGGTCATTTGTAATTACAAATTGAAATCTGGGAATCTCATTGTCATTCTTAAATAAGAAAAAGGTAGTTCTTGTCATTCTAAAGTAAAATTTTAAGGAAAATTCGTAAATAAGTTGTAAAAGGGATGATCAAAAATAAATCGTGCAGGATAATTCTTGCCATATTAAAATAAGATGAAAAGGATAGTTCTTTAAAAATAAAAAGTAAATTGCTGAGATATAACCATACTTCCTCACACAAAAGATATAACACTGTGTTTAGATCTCATTACATTTTCTAGTGATCAGTTTATTTTATATATGAACTAACTAAGACTTATCTGTTGAAAATAACTTATCTTATACAATAACTCACGTTTTCATAAATATTGTCAGATACCCTCAGTGTATGATGTTCAATAAGTGTCCAACATATTATATGATCCTTGACGTGTTCAAATGATATAATTTTTGTAATTTGAATAACTTTTTGCATATTAATCAGGTATTTGTAAATATAAATACTTACCGACTGCGTTTATGTATGTTGGTGAAAGCAATTGAGTTCACTTATCGAAAACTGACAGGTTTATTTAGGAACACATACATCTTTCAGTGATCTATCATTCAAAATTTTAACCTTTGTTAAATCTTACAATTGATTATCCTGTCCATTGCAGCAAAAGTATATTTTACTTTTTAAGGGTTAAATACGTTATTTTTCGTATTTTCAGTATGTTTCAGTATTTCCATCTGTACGTGTTGTTTTTCAATTGTTTTAGACATTTGTCTACAGTCAGACTATCTACTTAATGCATCTGCATGACATTCTAAAACGTTATTATCTTTTCTTTTCCGATATAATAATGTTTAGTCATCATTCATATTAGATATTTCTGTAATCCAGTTACTAATTGTTTTTGGTTCTTTCTCTGATTTTATCAAATAAATACATTAAGAAAAATAAACCCGACTCATAATTTATTATTTATTTACTTAAGCAATAATGAGCATAAACAATAAATATTTTTCAAACAGCAGTTATAACTGATCTGTCTCTGGTGCCAAAAACTACCATTGTCTTTGTTCGTTGTAGATGACTAGAACTACCAAATGTACTTGGAATGTTTCTGTACCTGTCATTTGATCCAAAAGACGAAGGTGGTGAATGGAAATGATTCTTGCAAAATAAAGCTAACTTTGACTTGAAGCTTGGTAGCAACAACGCATACAGAAGAGGGTTTAATATTGTTGTTATTTTGGCAAATATTGCAGGTAACGCTACTGCTATTGGCGTTAAAGAATCTCTATTTCCAAACAAAGCTATCCATGACACAACACTGAAAGGTGTCCATGAAAAACAGAACACCGAAATAAGAATAATTCCGGCTCTTGCAGTTTTCATTTCTTTCTTTTCAAGTGTTCGGTTTTTGCGCATGCGCCTGAAAGAAACTTCGTCAAACTGTCCACTTTTTCGAGCAGAAAAATATGTTTTCTCGTGGTTTCTTACTTTCATAAATATTACAAAGTAGCAATATGTTATACATATTACAGGAACAACAAAAAATAACACTTGTATCATTATATTATAAAACACATTTTGGAATGTTAAAGTAAATGTATCTTTACTTTCGCATGACGTTGTCTGACCTTCTAAAACATAACGTCCGTAACCGCTAAATGGAATTGCAGCCGCGATTAAACAGAATACCCAAAGACCTATAATCACGTAAATGGAAAAAGATTTATTAGAATAGTGTCGAACTGGCATGGTCCGTGTTATCACTATACATCTATCAAATGCCAGGCACACAAGCGACCATATCGACAAGAACCCAATGAAAGCTCCAAGGAAGGTGTTGATGAGACAAGCTGAAAAGAGTTTTTAAAATATTTACAATTTAGAACAAATACATTTAGTTTTTAGAAAGACATAGTTACATATAAGTTCGTTTTCATTTAAAAAAAGGTAGCAGTCCCGACAAAATTTTAATATTGATCTGAAATTGTTTAAGCGTTATCGTAGTCTTTTGACTATTTAAAGATCCTGTAACACTTTCTTTTATGGTTTTGTATCATAAATATGATGTTCAAATTAAGATTTATCAATATTGTAAGTTACAAAAAAGCATTATTTATAAAGATATTACCGAATTTAACATTTCATGTAAATAAAGGGAAGTAATTAGAAAGTTTAAGTTTAAGTCAAATATTTCAATAAGAAATGAATGCATATATTTTAATGATTACATATAATGTGCAAAAGTATTTGCAGTACATATTTTAAATAGTCTTCGATGTTTGAATATTGTTTTATAAGCATGATTATATACATATATAAAGTTTCACTTAATTGTGTCATACAACATCAACTATAACATACAGGATCTTTAAAAATTGCATGCTTTCACACAAGTTTATAATCTAGCGTTCTATATTTACAAGATATGTATTTTTTTCTAGTTTTTATTTCATTTAGTCTTTTGACGAGGTTGCTTAAAATGATACTAACATGTCAACTTGTGAAACAAAATTGTTGTATAATACGTAATAGGTACTGGCATTTACAATATATCGAATCTTTTAATAATCATTTTCAGTTTTAGTTATCTGCTAAATCGTTTATCAAAACAAAAACAATCAAATTGATAAAGCGTTATAACTAGAGGGATGGTGGCAAAAACGAATCACCTATAATATAAGTAAAAAACACACGTCTACCTGTATATTCTCGTTAAAGTTTTAGCATACCTTAACTGAACTGTAGTTATAACACAGCAAGTTCAAAATGTAAGTTTAGGTTTGTGAAATACTTACACTTCTCGATAAACGCACTGTCAACAACTTGACTCCGTATATATTCGGTGATGAGCATAGGGAGACAAATAATACACATCAATAAATCAGCTATTGTAAGATTTATCACAAATAGATTGGAGGGTGTTCTGAGACTCTTGTATCTGAAAAAAGACAAGAAGATTTCACATAAAACCTCTCCAAAACATATAAAAATCAAGATTTCACGTGTTTTTTCCTGAAGTCATGAATGAAATGTTTGATCCTGAATCCGTACAGCTAAAATCAATGTCGAAGAAGAAACCCCTTTTATTGTATTTTGATGATAAAGATGACATCATGTGTGTTGATATATGTTTTCATTGATAACAAAATGATTACTTGGAAAATGTTTCTTTGAGATTCGTTTGATGTTTTAATTTCAAATGGTTAATGTCAATAATACAATAACCTGAACCTGATTGTAGCCATCTTTTGTACGAAGGAGAGTCAATATGTAATGCAATATGGTCTATAAAGTTACCAAAACAGCAAATATTTTACAATTTTCTATTTAACCTTAGGTATACCTTTCAATAACCGACAAATAGCCGACCCAAGTTCATTTCATCTCTTGTAGCGATGATTTGCAAGATGTTTATTTTTCAGTCAAGGAAAGAGGAAAAAGTAACAGTATGCAGACTGGAGAATACGGTGGTTGTTTAAGTACAGTCACTAAATTTTTAGACAAAAAATCAATGTCGGTACAGGAGCGTTGTCATGCAGAAAGTACAGACAATTATACCGGTCGAAGGACAAACTTTACTGGAGTGTTTTGTTTTCAATTTTTCTTAACATGACAACTTTTAATACACGGATGTGGCAGAACGGCCTCTAAAACAGTTCCGAAGGTATTGAAAAGAATAACGTTCATAAATTTCTAGACACTTGTCAATTGCTTGTCAATGCGTGGTCGAAGAATAGATTAAGTGACCAAATGTTGTTGTTACACTTGCGAACTGGTGTAAAAATAGTGAAATCAACTTTCATAACCAGTCACAAAATTAAAAAAGGCGACAGTCATATTTAGGAAACATTTTCATTAAATTTCGAGCGTTTTTAACTCGCTACATCCTTTGTCAGATGTTAGCAGTTCTTGAGGTGGTATCCATCTGGCAGTTATCCGCATTTCAAGTGATTCTTCAGTAACGTATGAGTTAACCCTTTTGGAGTGAATGTGTGGCATCTTTGTCAAAGATAAGCTTGGCTTTATGAATGTTATCCACTTCGAAACAGTTACATAAGATACTTCATATTGCATTACATGTTGACACATCCTAGTACATGTACTTAAAATGAAATATTTTTCTCCTTTTAAAATAGCCTTTGAATATTTTACAAAAGAAATGTTTTCTCAATGGTAAGAGTGAAACACAGCTTAATGATGATATGCATTTTAAATCAATAAGTTATTCAAATTTCGCGAGAGCTATATGATTAATTTTATTTCATCACGATCCTGAATTAATCACCGTTTTTATGTTATTCATTTTAACATACGTATAGTATCGGGTGTACATTTAGTTGAAATGAAAAATAAATTTCAAAATAAATGAGAACCTATTTAAGCATTTCATTTTCAAATCTTAATATTGAACGCTTCCAGACGAGTTAGCTCATTAAAATAAATCAGGGGTATACCTCTTAGTACAGAAGTAACCAATCAGTGTGTGTTCGTTTCAAATTAAAACAGCTAACCTTTCCTTTAACAGGAAAAAGATTTATGATTATTCATTTCCATGAAGTCAATGAAATGTAAATTAGCAATACTTAATTTCAGATAGCGTAGAAACGTTAACTCAGATAATTCGTGTAATGTCTTCAAGAAAATAAGATATTTCGATTTGTTGTTTTATGTTGCGGTTCTAATAATGCTACATTTAATATTTTAAATTAACTGGAAATACATCAAAACTGTTCCATAATATTCATGGTTAATTCTTATTATCAAACGGCTGTTAAAAATATTCAGCAATTTGGTAAAGTAATTGATAAGTGCAGAACAGGAATTTGTTCTTTGAAGATATTTTGATTTTATTAATCCAAAACAGTTATGATTCAGATGCATCAAGTTCATCTTAATTCACATAATCATATATATATATCATTATGGCTGAAGGATTATTTATAAGGGTTGAGGCATCAGAATTGCAGCCATCGTTAATCCCTGCATGGCCGTATGAGGCGACTTAATGGATTCGGAGAAACGCAGTCTATGCATCTCATAGCTCCAGCAGGTAAAGTGGTGTTGCTTTGAAGTTTGGAACAGCCGATGTTAGCCAAAATCATATTGATGATTCGGCTATATGACCTATATTGTGTTGGTGCGCGATAAAAGCCAAACAAAGAAATACAAGGTTTATTTTTCAAGACATTTTTTTACATAGACCTGACATGGTAATTGTAATAAATTGAAAATTTTTGCCTGATATTCAAACTTTATGATTAAAAATACTTTAATATTGACTTTGAATGTTCGAATAAAAAGATTTTACGAAAAATAAGATTGTAAGAAAATCAATACATATTTAAGAAGAAATACAAAAGTCGCCTTATGATTCTTTTTATACTATTTTAGTGTACATTCGAAATGGCAACCTTCTGAAAACTACCTTAAAGTGAAGTCGGCAAATCTTGTCATGCATAAAAAATATGAAAAGAATAAATCCATGGTCAGTTAACGAAAATTATTAAGGAAAACCATTGGGATAAATAATTGCTAAAAAGAGTTGAATGACAGGGTAATATCAGCTGACATCATCTTAAAGAAATCGACACTTTCTGTTGTGAGTACCCCGATATTATTAAAATAAAAGTTGAAGTTTGAAGATAAATATTCTTATAACATAAACTGCTTTATTCCTTAAAATATACAAAATGAATTAAAATTAATTGTTTATAGTGCGTAAGCCAATTATATAGTCAAAATAAAAACTTATCTTACCTCAGATATAATGCGAATACTATAATGTTGCCAACAGTTCCGACACAAAAGGCTATTATCAACACAATAGCTAAGAAAATACACACCTCTTGCGAGAGAGATTGATGGTTAAAATCCAACTTATATTCAATATCCGTAGAATTATTCGCCGAAATCATAATATTTATATTTCATGATTTTTATCCCCAAAACTGAACAATAATCAATTGAAATGCTGATATCCACTATCACAACAAATACATGTTGGATTATCTCCCGGTGTAATAACGAGGTTAAAAATAGTTTGAGTTGGTATAAAAATATAACGAGCACCGAGACATTAGTAGGTGATGAGTATCCGAAACATTAAAATCATAGCATAATACAATAACTTAACTAACACTTAGCAATACCATGAACTGAATTTTATACGGAGAGGGAGCGAGTGAGAATGAAAAACTAATCGATACCAGTTCTAGCGATACTGCAATGTTCTAACCATTACCTTGTTGAATATCTGTAATGGAATTGTCCATTTTCCTGTCTGGACAAAACCATTAATCCTTTATAGCAAATTCTAAATTAGTACAGACGGAGTACCGAACAGTGCAGACCATGGCAGGGATGTTCTGGCTGATTTTGGTATACTAGTACACTGATCGCATTTTAGAATCTGCTGTCGTTATGTTGCTATGGGTGAATGACAGTACACGGCCAATCTTTGTGAATATTGATAGTCCAGGTAGACCGAAATTGTTTAACTAATGTCACCACTATTGTGTGTTATTTGAGTTGAAAACAATAGAAATTATATCTTTAGTCAGTGCAATTAAATGTTTCAAATTTATCATAGCCTAATGATTATTGCGTGTTAACATGCTATACAACAGTTTAGTGAGAGATTAATGTTATGCTTACAATTAAGTGTGCATGCCTAGAAAATGATAAAGAAGTGCTGCATGTCCAGGTCCAGTGAACACTATTTCATATGCTAAATCATACACATGTGGACACACACGAAGTACAAATATTGTATATCTTAGGTAGTCAAAATTCGGATATATTCAATAACATTTTCCTTATATTCTTGCTTCTATAAGTCACGTTCAAAGACCTTACATCTTACCGCAACATTTTTTTGTATTTTTATTTTGAAAATTTACCTTTACTGGAGAGGAATTGATATAAGTATTGTTTTACTTGTTTTCCAATCCAGTCTGAATTACTTTGCTGTGACATGTTTGTAAATGTTAGTTTATGTACAATTTATTAAATAAATAAAGTTTAAATTGAATATTGTAACGTTAACAGGCTTGTAATCGATTCTGTATCCATAAACATAAGACATCAGCTGCTGCATGTCACCGTTTAAAATGAAATCGACTTCATGTAAAAGGTGATTAAAGAGAAAAAATACCAGCAATAAAAAAGAATGTCAGGAAGGATAAAACACATATGTTTCGTCTTGTTCTTAAATTGATGTAAGATATGAACGGGAACAATGTACAATGGTATTGAACAGTAAAATTTCTAATTCTAAATTGAATAAGTATAAGTATATATTCAACACCTTAGAAATTATCTATTCCAATACATTTAATACAACATACAAACACAGTAGATTAGATTCTGAATGAAGCAGCTAAAATGTTTGTTACAAAATATAAAGGAACTTGTTTACATGTAAAACATACAAAAACAGAGGCAGTTTGTGTGGTGTGCTGATAACAATCTATGTGTAGAGACTTACGAAAACTGAAATGTAATAATGTGAATGGAAATTCTGCCAGATTGATCAAATTAACAGAACAAACCAATATTTACGCACATTATGATGATACGTGTTGATATAAATGTACCAGATATAAAATAAACATATTACTGGTCAAAGTAATTGAATTTAAATAAATATGATTGATAAATCAGATTTATATTTGAAGAAGTTCATATCAAAGAGATTCTTTACTGTCAATCTGAATTAATATTGAATATCAGAACACACGCAGTGCATTGTATACTTTAACATGTTGTTATCTCTTATTTCTAATGACATCTGTTCAACACAAAAAAAAATAAGCATGAATAAAATGACATCGTGCATTTTAAGAATTGATCGTATGACAGTGAAGCAATTCAAGTTACAGAAAAATAAAAAATGCATTATTCAATTTGTTTGAAACTATGACTGGTTCAGTGAGAACATTGATATTTTGCCTTTTTTTACCAGATTAACAAACCATTTACGTAAAAAAGCGACAGCTGTTTGTCATCAGATCATCACAGTATTTTACGTTATATTCCTTGTTTTGTCATGGAGAGGATGATGCGCATTTCGTTTGAACATATCTATTGAGTTGATCAGAAACAATAAGGATCATAACGTTATGTTTTAAAGACAGATTGTTTGTTTAACTGAATTGAATGAATAAAGTGACTACTTGGGGACAATAGCAATCTATAAAGGTCCATTAATCCTACGAAATGTTATTATTTCGTTATTTAAACTTTGGAAACGATCTTTCATTTTAAAACTGTATTAAAAGCATGGATGATGTATTCAACACTTATCAACAAGATCCATATATAATTATTTTGTGTTTTTTTTCTCTATGATACTGAATACTATCAAGTGAACATATTATTTATGATGTTCTTTTATTGACCACTTCTCTTAAATATATAATATTTTCCACGTTAGATGATTCCTGTAAAACAATTGAACACCGTTTACGTTTGGATTTTCATGGGGTTTTAAGCAGTTTTTTTGAAAGCAAAGCCCGGTTTTAATTTTCAAATATGGTTTGGGTTTGTTAAATTAAAGGGCTTTATCCCCCTTAATCTGAATCTGAGAAAAAGAGGTTAAAAACGATTTTAAGTTCTTTTTCCCAAACCTTAATATTTTTTTTACTTACTTGCAAAAAGGGTAAAAACTACTTCCCCAAAGAAATTTTAAAATACCCATAGAATTCCCTGTATGTTAAATTTATAAAAGTAGTAGCACAGTATGTTTGTATTTTAGGCAAATTTATATTTTATCCTTAACATATTTCAATATCAACTTTAGGTCAACCATCCTTGTAACAGTCAATCTCTTTAAGTATGTATCCAATTAAGCTCAACTTGACAATGAAAAAATGAACAAAATTTCACTTAAGGCCTGTGCTAATGAATGTAAGTAATACTGCTCTTTTGAAAACCTCTCTAGAAAATAGAATTCACCGAACCGTGTTACTATTTTGTTCACACCTTTTCTTGATTAACGTTGTAAGAAAATATCTGCGGTAAAAGTAAACACCATTTTCATATATGGCACAGAGTTCATCTGTAGCCGACTTCACTAAGAGCTAGACCGATGCTTACATTCATCAATGCCTTTAATGAACAGTATAAACAAAATAGGGTCTGAAACACTTTGCTGTTGCCCTGTTAGCCGCATTTAATGTAATCATCATGACTTAGATCGGATCTTTTTATGTTTTATACATTCCACTTCATTTTCAAAGAATGCACATTGGTCATTCTTTTTATGAATAAATGCATGTACTACTTGTTTTTATTGGGAAAATTCATTTTTATGTAAAGATTTTAGAACTGTTGGACGGAAATGCAAGTTTAAATAAAAAGTGTGTATTATTTTCAAGTTACCGTCAAATTCTTCTTAATTCCTCACTTACCATGAAATCTGTGAAAATTTATTCCAGTCGCAGATGCTTTGAAACGACAAACATCACGGAACCTACAATGTGACATTTTTTTGGCATTTGATGAAAATTGGAAAATTATCACCCAACTTATCCCCAACCAAAAAAAAAAAAAAAATGCCCGTAACTTGAAAGCACACAAACCACCTTCACCGCAAAGGAATAACTCAATAAGGCATACAAAAAGAAAAGTAAGTCAGGCTATTTGGATGATAATATTTTGCATCAATAAATAATCAGATAACAACGTAATAGAAATTGACGTTAATAGCAAAGCCTGTCATATTTGTATAAAATGGCATACATGCGAAGTAGACACGCACGGAGGATTCGTGTTGATAAGTTAAGTAATAGCTTAGTATATGATATTAAGAATGTCAATGATTCCTGTTTCAAACGCAATATGATCAAATCGACTTAATTATATATTACATTACATGTAAGGTGAAAATTGAATTAAAGATAATTAAGTTAAAATGACACACAAGTCGGGTTGGATAGTTCGTTTAAAAATATAGTTATTAGGGTATAATCAAACAAGCAATGGAACTGCTAATGAACAACACTAGGAGGATACATATGTAGTTCAAATTAACCCACTTAAATTCAGAAACCAATGTAGCATATAATGCTTAATTCGAGGCTTAATTAGAGGTTGCTTATTTTGTTAAGGATATTTCAGCTGCCAAAACAAGGCATGAGAGGCATTTTGTCAAGCTTGAAAACTTGCACTATAGGTACTATCCCGAATATGTATTCAAATAAGTATTGCTCTTTGACACCACAGAAACAAAGGTATTTCATTTAAAAATACACCTGTTCATTGGAACTGTACGAGGATGTTTTATATCATTCAGCACGATATTGCTAATAATAAAATTGCCTTTCTAAATACATGTATTTGGCCTTTCCCAGTCAGGTGGTCCCACTATTTCTACTTGAATAATGTTGAATCACCCTTACGATATGTTTCCTGCATTTTAACTTTGTCTTTTGACGTCTTATCTGTTAAATACAGGCTCCATAACCTCTGACACCCTTTCAAAGTTGAATTTTGCCATTTGTTTAGTTCCGATCATTTTTTCGTTTAGGGCAAACGCTTTATACTTGGGGTCCATATGCCACTTTTCATGTAATAGCACGAAAGTGTCGCATTGAAGGTTCTGTAATTACCTTTGTTTGAACACATCTGCGGATGTTTCTACATTCAAACCTCTATCATTTTCATGTTTAAATGTTAAATATTGCTTAAGCCGGTGCTAGGTGGTGTAGACGGTAGTTTGCACCTGACAGTACCGTTCATGTAAGGCTCAATAAAACCTAGCCTAAAAATGGCTTCTCTATTCTCTCTAATAAGACATATGTTCTGATCTCTGAAGCAAATGCTAAATATCGTTAGTTTGAATATACGTATAATTTGTAACTCGAAATTAAGTCACAATTAGTAAATTAACTGCTAATAATGCTCTTAGTTCTGAATTTCCTTTGTAGTAAGTTATATTCAATATACCAGAAAATATACTTCAGATGATGAATATTTCAATTGAATGAAATTATCATTATCTGTTATGTAATGCAGTTTTTCGGAATATCCGTAACCGTAAATATGTCATATATTTGTCTTGCATAAATTAAATGATTCACCTGTAGAATCTTTCTCCCATAGAAATTAGTGTCTTTTTATTCGTCATTGTTTTCTTTGAATTTAAAGCTTCATTCTTTATGGTAAAATGACCATACCATCAGCGAAATAACAGCATT